GCCTTCCTATTTCTCAAAAAACTGTGATTTTTTTCTGGGAGGACTGGCTAGGGAAAGGACTGAGTAAGATACATTACTGTGAACGTATTCTCAGAACTGAGCAATGACCTCTAAATGGGCATAAATGTTAATTTGATAAATTTTGCTTTGAATTGTCTTTCCTTTGCCTACATCCATGTCAAATATGTCTTATCCACTGGGTCCCAAACCTTTTCAAGTGTCAGCACCCAGTGGGTATGAATGAACTGTCTTTAATATTCAGACCTGAATTTTGCTGGCTATATTCCTTACTGTGGTACTTCAAGGACCGTTTCTGAGGTTCACACTCACCTCTGTAACTGGACATCAAGCTCAGGCCCAGAACACTGCTCCTCATTCCACTGCCTGAGCTGAGCACCTGCCCCAGGCCCCACCTGAGGCTCCTGTCACCCACAGGTTCCCTGCTGCTGCCTGTCTAGGCTTCTGCTCAACCTGCAGCCCTGGTAGGGAGCTACTCGGCAGCTGCTGCTCACCTGCACTGTGCACACAAAGCTCTGCCTTCGGAACAGCAGAACCAGCTGAGCACATCTTTCTTTTGCCATTTGCAAGCAGCTCTTCTCTTCTGCGTTCCACTCTTTGCAAAGGGTCCACAGTAGAATTGTTTGGACCTCCAGAGTTTAATAGGTCAGACTTCAGTTTATACAGAATTCTTTCACTGGCGGGTTGAAGAAGTTGTCTTTACCTAGAACCAGCATTCTCCTCATACAATGTGACCTTTGTTCTGAGTTAGCTAACTCATCGAATCAGACATTTTTCCATGTTATCTTTGTTCATGCACTTTATGGTTCTTAAAATTTGCCTTCTGATTTGCTTCTTTCTTTCCCCAGTTCTCCAGGCATACCTGGATCCCAACCTAGGATACTTTTCTCTTTCCAAGAGGATGATTATTGAAGGCACTGAGTCAATAAAAACAGCCACCATCGACAGGCGTACCTAGAGATGTCGCAGGCTCGATTCCAGACCAGTGAAATAGAGGTGAATATACCAATAAAGCAAGTCAAAGGAATTTTGGTTTCCCAGTGCACATCAAAGTTGTATTCATAGCATACTGTAGTCTATTAAGTGTGCTATAGCATTATGTCTTGAAAAATGTATATAACTCAATTAAAAAATACTGCTAATCATCATCTGAGCTTCCAGCAAGTTGTAATTACCGATCACAGATCACTGTAACAAACATCATAATAATGACAAAGTTTGAAGTATTACAAGAATTACCAAAATGTAACACAGAGACACAAAGTGAACAAATACAATAGGAAAAATGGTGCCGATAGACTTGCTGGACACAGGGTGGCCACAAACCTTCAATTTGTGAAAAATGCAGTATCTGGGAAACACAATAAAACGAGGTATGCCTGTAGTGAGCATTTATTGACCATATATGTCAAATACTTAAAGATATCATTTCATTTAATTCTCACAAGAACCCTAGGAAATAGGGGGAAATACATGCAATATTAAAATAACCCAGAACCAGGTTGAGAACAGGAGTCCAGGAATCCATCAGATGCTTGTCCTTTCTCTGTGAATTTCTTAGTGTGTGAAGTTAAGACACAATGAAGTATTTATATTCTGTTACTGCCTGAATCTAAGCCTAGGATATTAACAGGTAACTTCCTGTGTGGAGAAAGTAGTTCTGCAACTACAGGATAAAAATGCTAACATACGCTTTCCTGTGTCCACCTGGAACTGAAGCCTTTTCAGGTTTTTGAGTGAATCATGGAATTGTATTAAAGCATGGATTGGTCATCCTTTAAAATGAATAGTAGATTTCATTAAATCAAACAATGCCTGCACATGACAAAGGAAGCCTCAGAGAAAACCACTGATATATTTTCTTTTTTGCCTATATAATAAATTCATATGTTTTATTATGCCTGGTGTTTTCAATCTTCTTTTATTTATATTTTTCTTCCCCAATTACATTTTCTTAATAAAAAAGTTTCCAAAATCTTGGAATTCACTTCTTGAAATCAATAAAATAAACATTTAATGTACTAAAACTATGCAAAATACATTTAACAGCTTCTCTACTTAATTTAAAATTTCCTTACCCCACTGCAGTACTTAAAAAACTAGTAGTATTCTGTAGTAAATGTAGAATATAGTCATTTATTACACAAGGAGATAAATAAAATAAGAGTCAAAGTTTTTGTTTAATAAGGAAAGTAGGTAACAAAATAGTTATTAATCAAAGGGAAAACAATTAAGTTTATTAGTGGGACTAAACTGAGGGTTTTGTTTTTATTTTGGTAAGACATTCTGTAAAGAAGATTATAACTTGAATTTGGGGCACTTTATACAATGTAGCCCAAGCAGAACTTTAACAAAATTTTTAAGTAAATGGCAATCACCATCTTTAATTTTAAAAAGATTAATCATGACTTGTATCTCCACCAACTCGGGAAGAAGCAGGGGCCTCAGAATTACCCTTGCCAGGGGGACTTCCATGCCACAGTCATCATCGTTTGTGGCTACTTTGTGAGCCCCATCACCCCATCCCCGCACATCTGCCTCTTCTAGTTATTCAGGTAGGAAAGGGGGGACATTTATCCACCTTCCCTCCAAGTTCTCTCTTGTCAAGCAGGGGGACCCCTCTGGTCACTGAATGAGGCCTGCAGGCTCTCGCTTCAGTGGTACCAGCCCAAAAGCGGGCGGGGGGAGCCCTGAGGACAGCAATGTGCACCGTCAGCGGGGACACTGTGGGAGGATGGAGCATCCCTGTCGGACAGCCAGCTCACCCACCAGCATGAAGCAGCAGGGCTCCCGGACGTGGCTGTGCGATCGTGGAAGTCTTCGCTGCTGAGCGGAGATTCCTTGGCAGGCAAGGAGCCTGCCTCCAAACACCCTCGACTTCCCCCCGGAACCCATGGAGTTGAACATGACTCGTGTGCGCTGAGGCAGCGCTCTGGGGTATCTGAGACGGTGGCCGACCTGCCTGTGGAATGAGAGCCGAGCTGGACGTGCCCCACCCCCGTTCTCAGGCTCACCCTCTTGGTTCGTTGGAGTCCAGTGCCCCGAAAGGGCCCTTTCCTTAGAGCTGGATTTCATCATAACCCTGCAGCTGAGCCTAGTGACTGCACAAATTCATTAGTATGTCTGAGAAAGCAACTCTAAGACATACCCTGCCAGGGGCAGGCCGGAGTGGCACCTTCCTCTGCGCAGAGCAGAAGGGGAGCCCCAGGGCTTGCCCGACAGCGCAGCGGTGAACAGTCTTAACGGGGAAACCTGAACCAGCTGAAACCCGCCCGTGGGCCCTCAGCGGAAACCTCTGTGGCGCTGGGCCTGCTTGCTCTCGCCTGGAGGCCCTGGAGGCCACCTTAGCCAGGGCTGAGCGGGCCCCAAAGGCTCGAAAGGACCAGTACATTAGGAGGAACAGCCAATCCGCACCCCCACCGCCCCCGCAGATCTCATTCTCAGTACCGCCCACACCTAGTTGCTGCCCAAGGACTATTTTCTCCCTCTTCTCGACCTTCCCAGTCTGCCCTGGCTCTCCCCCAAGCCAGCCAGGTCAGCTGTTTGCTCCACTCGCCTCCCCTTATTGGCTCAGTGCGTGACCACTCAGACCAACTGAACCTGGCATTCCCCTTACAAACTTCTGCTTCCTTCATTGCCTGGATGCAGCTGCCGCTCTGGACTGGAGCACAGGACTTGCCGCGGCCCCGACCCCCGAAAAGTTAGGTGGATGCTGGGGCTTTGCTACAAGAGGAGCGTATGAGTCAGTGCTGGGGTGACTCCCAGCCTAGACCTGGGAGACGGGAGGGCCGGCTGCAACTGGCATGGACGCACCCTGGGTCCAGTACCCGACACTGTGGATTGATTGGTTTGTTATTTTCTCTCCCTGGAGAGACGCACAGGACCTTGGGGGCACAGAAACTGATGATTTTGTTCATTTTTGTCTCCACTATCGTAAGAGCAGTGTCTGGCATATTCTAGGTACTCAAAAGTACCAATTTGAAGGAATTTTTGAGCCCCTACTTTGTGTCAGGGATTGTTAAAGGTGTTTGAAGAGACAGGCATTGCTTCCATCTTGCAGACGGAAAACTTCAGAAGTTTCGCAGCGCAATTCAAAATAGGCACTGTCGCTGGATTTCCAGATATCTGACCTTTGGACTACAAGAAACAGTTTGTCTCAGATTTCCTTGACTTGACTTTCCCTGTCGTTCTTAAAGGGAAGAGTTTTCCTAAGAAAAGGATTTTTTTCTAAGCTGATCCTGTGAGTGTTTGGTTTTCCTCTGCTTCATTTTCCTGACTTGGAAAATGTGTGGCACCGTGACATCTACCGAATGGATGTCCAGAAGACCTGCACCACCCGACCACGTTAGTTTGCCAGGGCAGCTGCAACAAAGGACCGCCGGCGGGGGTGTAAACAGCAGGAATTCATCTTCTCACTCTCTGGAGGCGAAGTCCCGGGTCAAGGTGCTGGCAGGGCTGGCTTCTCTGAGGCCTCTCCCTTTGGTCTGTAGGTGTCTGCTTCTCCTGGGGTCACACAGTCCTCCCTTGGGACACGTCTGTTTCCTCATCTCCTCTTCTTACAAGGACACATGACATAGTAGATTAGGGCCCAACCTAATGACCTCACTTTAACTTAATTAACTCTTTCAAGCCCTCATCTCCAAATGCAGTCACATTCTGAGGTACCAGGGGTCAGGACTTGAGTACACGAATTTTAGGGGGAGGACCACAGATCAGGCCATAATACCACCCCTGATTTTACAAAATATAGGGTAATTAATGTCCAGGCCTGTTTTAAAAGGCCTTACAATGTGTGTAGTGATGCGGCAAATTGCAGCCTATTCCCTGCTGTCTGCTGCCTCGGGGAGCTGCCCCTTGCTGCCCTTCTCCTTGGGCCCACACTGAGACCAGCGAGGTGGTCAGAGCAGGTCACACAGAGACCCAGAAATCCAAGAAGAGGGTTTTGTAGCAAGTAAATAAAAGGAATTATCATCCATCTAAGGTTCATTGTTTAAATTACCTTGTTTATTTACGTCAACACAAAACACATTAAAACAATTTACAAAAAAAAATCCATTTTGTCTCCAAGTAACATAACTCTTCAGTGAACAGAAGTACTACTGTTAATGTTTTGGCCTTTTCAAGGTCCAGCCTTGGGTCAAAACAGAATTTAGAGAAATAGCAGATTCTTCTCTACTTTCCCCAATATACACACAAAGGAAACTTACATTTTCTAAAAATCCCGTTCCAGTAACAATACAAAAATATCCCACGTGGAGGTGAATACTACTGTTGTGTCGTCAGTACTGCAACTTCCTTTTTGCTCTAGGTTTGCTCCAGACGCCGGGCTTCGGCCAGGAGCATAGACAGTGGGTACATCAGCCCTTCAGGTTTCCAAGGTGCTTATTTAGTAATGCTTTTAGTATAGCTGTGTACTCCCCCAGTGTCGGATTTACCTGAGTTATTGAGACACCAGAAGGCAAAAATCTCCACGTGACCAAGTGGGTACAAATCTATCCAGTAGCATCAAAGAAACTTATCACAGATTACTCCGTGCCATTTCCGTGGATAAACGTGAAGCCTGCCCTACGTAAGGAACCATTCACCTAGGAAAAGGCTTCACGTTACAATTTACCCAAAGGTACTGAAACGTTGCACGGAAGTACAAAGCCTCACCTGTGTTCCAGTCGTTTAAATGTATTCTGTTTAGTCTCAGTACATTTTCAAGTGAATGATCGTTATCCCTTAACTTACAAAATCCTTCAGTCATTTCACTGACAAAAGAATCAGCCTCATACTGTGGGTAGAAGAAATGGCAGGAGCCGGAAGACCTAGGTGCTGGGCCAGTTTTACACACGCTCTGAGGTTGTTTCTCTTTCAGGATCAATGAGATGAAAATGCTTCTTTATAAAGCAGTATTGACCATAAGAAATAATATTCTACACAGTCTATCTCTTCAAGCAACCTATGGCTCCCTAATTACCCACAAGTATTTTACAAGTAAAAGCCTACTTTTTAAAGTAAGTATGTGTTGTGTATTTGCCATATGCAACTGAAATGTGCAAGCTAGGTAATGCAAATGGAAGAAGAATGTAGATTTTAACAGCCTATTACTCTTGACAGACTTGTGTACTCTGGATGGGTTTCATTTAAAACCATGTAAAAGTTTTTTTTTGTTCAACCCACATTCCTTTTGTATTATTGGAGCTCTTTGTGAATAAATTAACCATTTACAGTAACTTTAATAAGAAATCAGTACTTTCATATGTCACAGGGTTTAGACAACTGTGAAACTGAGTAAAAATGGGTTGAGAAATATGGGAGAAGTAGTTTGAAAAGTCAGGGTCAAGAGGGAAACTGAGTATAGAAATTTATTTTTTAGCTAATTAATAATCTAAGCAATTGGCTTGTATTTTTTATTTTTCTACTGGTGATGTCCTAATTTATAAATTATCTCTTCTTTATATGCAAAACAAATAAAATACTTGTTTGTGTACCATACTTTTCAATACATTCAAACCCACAGAAATTTTAACACTTCATTTTCATTCTTACATTTAGGACATCTTTGGAAGAATTTCATCCTCTCAGCTGAAATAAAAGTCAACATTTCATTTTTCATAGATTAAAAAAAAATCCTCCTTTAGGAAAGGGTAGATTTGCTAAAAATTTAGAATTAATTGTGAAGTGAGAGTACGTAATATAAGCACATGGACTTTGTGGCTTTGCTGAGACAAAGACTCCAGGTAGCTGTATTCCTGTAACAAATGAGGTTCTAATTCCAAACATTTTTCAAATGCAAATCAGGCACCCATGAATCATTTTGGTGAATTTTTTTTGAGGTATTAATGCAACAGAGTATTCCTCAAGTGATCCCCAAAGTCACCCTTTTGCTAAGGATATTTCTCTTCTTGATTATTTTGAACCTGCCAACACAGTCTCTAACCTTCAAACAGAGAATGACTGATCTCCAAATGACCTATTATTATCTTAAACCAACCTCATTTTGAAGCAACAAAGAAAGAAAAATTAAATAGTGCATTAATATTTCATATCAGTGAAACAGACATTTTCCCATGCTTAAAGTAGCTTTATCCATCCGTGGAGAGGTCCACCTTTTGTTTTTCCCTGTGTTTGTAGGTTATATTTTTAAAGGTACTGGTGGAGCCTCTGTACAGTGGATTGGTTCCCTAAAAAAACAAAAAAGGTTCCAATGAAAGTATGTACATTTTGTCATGACATGATTTTAATATATCTAACTAATTTGATTGTACTTACAAATTGGAAGAAGAGAGTTAAGCTCAAACTTGAAAGCCATTTGAATAATTCTAATTGATTTGATATGTTCTACTCTTAGCATTTTAAACTTTATATATCTTCATTTAATGTTTTTTAATAAACAGAACCATTCCCATATGTATATCCTAAAAATCTTACCTTTTTCGGAAAGGCACTAATTGATGGATGGAAAACAAGACTTTGGCTGTTTTGTTCACGGCTACCTTATCAGAGCCAAAGATAGTGCCTAGCCCCTAGTAGGCACATGGCATTTATTGAATGAACAGAATGAGCCAATAGGAGACCCAAAAAGTGAAATGTATAAAGTAGAAAGTAAAACATGGAAAAAGTGAACCTACAAAGATGAATGACAGAGTGTCTGCCTTTAAGAAGCATGCGGCTGGTGAGAGGCATTCAACCACACGAATCATCTTGCTAAGGTGAGATCAAAATTTAGAAGCAGTGACAACTAGCTGCTTGTGAGAGACGGGAAGAATCCCCAGGACAGCAAACTCTGGATAGTAGAAGAATTAGGTGCCTTCTGCTTACTACAGAATAACAGAGTCACAAGCCCCTGATGAGTGGGACGCCGAGCTCATGCAGGACGGCAGGTCCCAAGGCAGGTCTGGCAGGATGACTTTGCTTCTGGGGTGGTGGGAAGGTTGTGGCAATGCCTGGGTTATGCAGTTGTGCTGTCTGGGCTATAGATGTGTCTCTAGGCACTGTCACCAGCACCAGAAGGGCCATGGCTCTGTAGGTGTTTGAAGAAACACCGAGCTTGATCCTCCAATCTCTCTCCTTTGGTTTAATTGTTCCAGGCAGACATAAGACGAATGCATAAGGTGCAGTTTGTTCTCTCCCCCTTTCTAGGATTGACCTCACCTACTTTGGCTTCAGACAGCTTGTTTCAAACTCAGCTCCACCATGTGACCTTACTTAGGCAAGCCCAAGCCTTGGCATCCTCATCTATCAGAGGGATTACTGAAGGGCCTACCCTGTCCTTGAGAGGACATACTTTAGCACAGTGCCTGACACATAGTACATGCTCAATAAAAGCTGCCCCGTCTTACTAGTTTTTATTTCCAACTTTCCTTCACATTTGCAATTCCTTTTCTTTTTGGTCCTGGAGAGACTTATAAAGATATTTTCCCCAGGTTTTTGGTACTCTTAACATTTCTAAGCCCATTTTTGAGTATGCAGGGAATCTAGGTACCATCTCTGGCCCTCCAAAGTATTAGAATTATACTTTGATCTCCGTAACCCATGAATTGTAGAGATGGTAGCAATTTCTAAGCACAGATTTGCAAAAACATAATTGTATTTGCCTTCTTAGTACATTTCTCTCAGCTCTCAGGAGAAGTAAATAAAATTGAAAAACATTCCCTGGCCTCTCACATGTTTGCCTTAGATTTGCCCCAGTGTCCTCACGTGAGGACACCCCCCTGCACCTGTTTCCATTTTTCCCAGAGCCAGTGGCCTGGCCTCTGGCTGAGTAACACGTTACCCTTGTTCATGTGCCTTTAGAGAGAGATGTTATCTGAGTAGCGAGGACCAATAGAAAAGAGGTTCCTTGGTGTGGATGATAAATGAAGGCCAAGTCACCATACTGACTCCTGAGGTCAGCCTAGATCATCCCGAGGACCCTCCGTCCTTATTTAGTCCTTCTGCAATAAGAACTAGAGAGTGAAGGGCAGACTGATGTAGTCTTAGAAGCAGGTGGACGCTCATTGCAAACAAAAACCATGTGTGGAATTCTATTAAGTTTAAGAGATGACAGGCTACTAACTTACAGTTGGTTACAGAAGGAACTCAAGAGGAAAGATAGAAAAAATGAGAAGTGCAGCCCCGGGGGTAATGGGAGGGACACTGTCTCAGAGGAAGAGGGAGACTTAGGTAACAGAAAAGACACTGAAAGAGTAAACGGGGTGTGAGCAGGACCAGTTCAGACCTTCACAGGACCAGGAACTCTTAAGGGTGCCATGCCATGTCATGTCAAACTCATCCCATACTAAATATGATTTGTATGCACTGTAAAGGAGTTGCAGCTGACTGAACACAACGTTATTTCATTGACATTTGTTGAATATTTAATTTTGGGCAGTTTTCATTCTGTACTCTGAAACCATTTCATTTATTCAGGTCTATGATGTTTGGGATATGGGGGTTCTCTTGCAAAGCTAGTTGTAGGGCCTGGGCATGCCAGTAGAGGGCAATGGTTGAAGCATACTCTGCCATGATAGGAGGGTAATAAGATAGGAGTTTAAAGGTGGAGAAAGAGCAAGTACATATTCTTGGGAGGCAGTAGTGTTTCCTGCCCATAGGCTCAACCCAGGTTTAGCTTGCAGGAGAAAATGCGGCAATGTCCGGCACTGCCTCCTCCAGTACCATGCAAGCAGCGCCCTCCCTGCAGAGGATTTACCGCTGAGACACAGGCTTGGGTCCGGCGCCTTTAGACCCAAGTATGCAGTCCTCTGGGCACGGTTGGGTTTCCCCCGATTATCTGGGGTGACCAGGTTGTTTTCCCCAGGTGTCTGCTGGTGCTAATTTAGGCTGTGGATTCTGTAAATGCAACAGCACATTTTTAACGCTTGAAAAAGTGGCAATAAGAAAGCTCTCTGTCATGACCTACAGCCCTCTTAATGATTGCCTCACTGCCAAAAGCTGACCTGATGTGCTTAGCGCAGTACAAAATCAATCCATGACTGTGAGAAATGTCAGACTGAATGTTTTTTTGCCTCTAGTTAATGACTTGTCATCCTAAAAAAAAATATCCAATCAAAGATGAATTGAAATATCTTCCCTTTGTGTTTTCATATATAATATGGATGGGGAAATTATTTTTAAAAGTATAATAGCAGATAACCTTTCTTTATGGCTATGATAAAGTATTTCAGAGGCAAGAATGAAGCTCTTTTCTGTCCTGAGCTCTGTCACCTTTAGAGTGTTGTGGGTCAGGAGATCCAACTACTCCTATCGGCTCTGGAGGTCCCCAGGGTTTGAAGACCAATCAAATTCAGCTTTTTGAGAAGAAATAGGTTTTAAATAAAAACTGATCCAAACTGCAGACACCAAAATGGATGCTCTGAGCAACATCTTTTTTTTTTCCTGAAAGGATATATTAATGAAATTTGAATTGAATAATTTGAATTAAAGTTCTTTTGTATCCAAGTGAATAATTACTATCCACTTATTATCTAGTAAAGAACATCAAACATTTGTTATTCAAAGAAACTCAGTTTAACAATAATATTTTTCACTTTTGCTTTTGTCTGTTTAATGCATATTTTTGTTCCATTGTAGAAGAAGAAACAGCAAATTCTGAATTTGAATTTCAGTCATGTTCTACATCCTGAGGGAAAACAGTTCATGTTTTGGGGAAGTTAACTGTTAATTGAAATGTTATTTTAAAGATATTAATCATTTGTCAGTATTCATGCCTTTGTATGAGTACATTACAGTGTACTACTTAGTAGATACAAATCACATAATTGCCCACGTGCTTGTTTGACGAATACCTGTCTATTATTTCTAGGAAGGTCAAGGCTATGCCTGGAAGAAGAGACTGAAATTAGGATCTCAGTCCACCATGGACCAGCAGTGGGAAGTCTCTTAACCTCTCTGAGCCTCAGTTTTCTTACATTCAAAATGGGAGTATCAAGACTACTTCATAGGGCTGGTAGTTGTTAAAATAACTTCTGCTGTTTGTTTTTCTGTGTGTGCCAACTTAAACACATTCTTCTGCCTGGGTACCCTTAGGACCACTGTCAGGCATTTGCTTGACAGTTGGTGAGAATTAAAAACAACATCTGTGGCTGGGGGATTCAGGGGAAGTTAATTGCCCCAACACTTTGGACTGGGTACTATGCTCTAAGTAACCAAATTAGCCAGTCATGTTACATTTCATCTTGTTAGAGATGGACAGTTTACATCCCCATTGCCAATCCATAATTTACTTTCCTACAGGGTTTTGTTTAATTATGAAAAATCCAACATACATAAAAGAGGAAAACTGTACAATCAACATCTGTGCACCCATCACCCAGATTCAACAATTATCAAGATTTTGCCACACTTGCTTCAGCTTTTCCTCTCTCTTGGCTGAATTATTTCAAAGCAAACCCAGCCTTCATTTCCTTTCACTACAAATATGGGTATTTTCTAGGAGAGCCATCATGCCTCTATCATACCTAATACAAATAACCATAATTCTTTGTTATCATTCTAATACCCAGTTGATATTAGCCTTTTTCCAGTTGTCAAAAAAATGTATTTTTACAGTTGGACCATGCGAATCAGGATCAAAACAAGATCCATACATTACATTTGGTTATTGTATCTAAAGGCATTTTTAATGAGAAGATAAAGTAGATGGAAAATTTTATTGTCCATTATCCTGCACCATATATTAAGGTTACTTCAAAATAACAGCATAAGAGATAAACATCCCTTATCAAGATAAAGATAAATTCCATGTGCTTTAGGAATTGAAGATGTCACTATAGACTTAGGGAGAAAGTGTTAACATCAACTTATTGGGGCAGATGAAACCAAAGGGGCCTGTATTTGCCTGTCTTCTCTCCAGCAATGTCACTGTTTTTAGAATCAGCAGGGTAAGATAATTGCTATTAGATAGCTGGACACCCCGTTAGAGATAGAGAAGATGAAATTAAAACCATGAAACTGTTTCTATGTGCCTCTAGAAATGTAATTATCTCTCCTGTGGAAAAGAAACAGAATCCTGTTTTGTGTTTGCCTGCTGTGAAAAGGAGACACATACATTTTATCTACTGAATGCATATATTTAAAGGTCAATACTTTGGGGGCCTCTCTTTTTCAGGTAGCTGTTTAAAATTCATGTTTTTCAGGAAAACTAACTGGATGGCATTTAGAAAGTCTTCTCAGCTTGGCTTTGTGACCTATGACGAGGAATGAGGATTTCCTTGGAAACTGGCATGAACTGTCATATGACTCATGAACATTATTCCATGAGCTATAACCTAACTGATCTTGGGGAATGTTTAGATACAACACCTGTGCTTTATCAAATGGGGCCTGAGGGATGCTTGTGGTGGTAAGGATTAAGTGTACTTCCTGGGGGTCCCGAAGGAGCTGTATAAGGAGTCTCCTGAGACTCTTCAGAGTGGGGGCCATCCCCACTGCACCGAGAGGTGAATGTCCACCAGGAGGGCCATCTGCACCCCAGAGAGTGGACGGAGCTTCCTTGGTCTTCAGAGCAGGACAGAAACCAAAGCCGCTGGGGACACGGTGAAAGGACTAGAGAAGGAAAACGACAGGCAGAAGAAAGCGGACTTTCCATCTCTTCCACAGGCACATTCTCCCCTAGACAAGAACTAGTCCCTAAGTGTTCACATACCGTCTGCCACTTGGCCTTCGACCGCTCCGCTTCAAATTTGGCAACTTCTTTCCTATCGTGAAATGACACCAGCAGCTTCCAAATACACAAGAGGACAACGCCAATGAGAAGAATTGCCAGGGAAACGCCCAACATGATCATGGGAATGTTGGGAGGTTTTGGACAGTCTGTGGAAATGAAATTAGATTAAGAAAATGGTACAATTAATGTTTTGATGTAGAGAAATCATTTCTCATTGAAATTTATGGCCATACTTTTTCTACAGTGGAGGGAAAATAGTAACATCTTTTGTTTTACTGAATTTTAAAAAAATGAGTTACTTGTTAAAGGATAGCCGTTCTCCTTCATAGGAGACCAAATGATAGAATAGAGGTTGGTTATTCAAAGCAAATGGACATATGCTTGAATGGCTTACTCAGGAAGGGTCAGACTCCAAAAGAGTGATCATTAATGCACATACAATAGTTAATACCATGAAGGAGACTATAGTTTAATCACAAAAGATGGTCTCTTCTGGCATATGGTAAAGTAGAAATGGAAGGTGCATACATATACACACACACATACATAATTACTTTTGCATGGATTTTCTGGAAACATGAACCATCTAAACATACCCTCTGAAAAGTTTACTGCTTGCTGTTGCTATATATATATATATATATATATATATTTCAAGAAAATCCGTGCAAAACAAATATATATATATGCAGAAAACAGGCATTGCTTTCAGTTTTATTTTCATTCTAAAGCAGTGCCCTGGTGTTCTGGAAAGTTCCTGGATTGGGTTCAGGAGAAATGGGCTTGGTTCCTGTCCAGTGTATAGTAGTTGTCTGCTATCCATCAAGTTCCTTGATTCTTCTGAGCCCGAGCCCTCAAACCAAAGGCGTGTTCCCTTAATTTCCCCTGTGATAAGATTAAGCCCTGGTGTTCATGCTTATTAAACCCACAGCTTCCTAAACCCCCTCCCCCAAGAATTAGTGTCTTGGAATAAGGGTCTTGGGTGGAGCCACACATTTTTATTATTAAAAGCACCCCAATTGATTCTAATCTTCAGAGAAGTTTGGGAAACTAGATGTTTTGTATAGTCCTTTCAACTTGAACATCCTATGCAATGTTATTTTGATTCTATTGATGATATTAATATAATTTCACAATTATACAGTACCTTCCCTCATTGACAGCAGAATGACTAATAATCCTTGCAATATGCCTGGGAGATGATACATTTCATAATGAAACATTATAATCAAGCTTTTTCCTTGCTTTTGTAGAAAAAAAAATCCCACCTAAAAATTATCATTAAATATCTGCCTCCCTCTGTAAGAAGTGAGGCAAATCTGTGGTATCTGGGGAGGAAATGAATCATGCCTAGTTTATCCTAACTCTTATTGCTTTCAGATATTTAATAAGGAGAGTTATACACACAGGACTAGTCATACTGCTTTCAAGGTAAGCATCTGTGGCTGATCTGATTTTGAGCAGACTAAAGGCCCCTTAGCAGCATGATGCCTGGCCTTGCACACTTCTGTTTTTTGGACATAAAAAACATGTAAGGAGATTATACAGAAATAAGTAAAGGAGCTAATGAAATATCTATTACAGTATGAAGATCTAAAGACTATTTCTTGCATAGCAAATGAACAATGGCTACTCTAACAGGTTAGCAACACTCTCAAAGAAAGTGGCAGGTGCATGCTGCTGAGAATATATACTGGCTACAACCTTGACTGCATGTTCTTGCTCAAAGCAAGATGAAGCTTGCTAGGACCCTGCAGCCAAAACATGAATTAGGAGGGCTCTCCAGTAGGGAAGAAATAAAGGAGGAACAAGTATGATGGGCTGACGGAGATGATTATTTTAAGAACTTTGGGAATGATACATTTCTCAAAAAAGATTTTGGCCCAAATACCCAAAGAGTAGTTATTATACAAGAGAAATTTCCACTTTTCATACCCCCTTGAGCATTTCTTGAGATGCTCAGATTGAAGCCATATTTCTAGGTGGGAGAGGAATGTGGGTCCTGTCCCTACGTGCAGCTCTGAGTTGCCCAAGTCCCTGCTAGTGCCGCACCTAATTCTAAGGTCCTGAGTTTCTAACACTGCCAACCTGGTATGTCTGTCAGTGTGGCCACTGAGCACTAGAAATGTGACTCTTCCAAATTAGGTTGCATACTAGGTGTAAAATACACATTGATTTCAAAGACTTGTGAAAAAAATGTAACATATCTCATTAGTAATTGTTATGTTGATTACACGTTGAAAGGACAGTATTTTGGATATGATGGATTAAATAAAACATTGATAAAATTCATTTCACCCGTGTTTTGCTTTTTAATCTGAAATTTAAAATTACGTGATTTGCATGCCACTTCCATTGGACACTGCTGATCGAACATGTTTTTGGGATTCAGAGATTTATTGTGATCATACAGCCAGTGGGAGGCAGTGCAGCCTAGTAGTTAAGAGCCTGGGCTCCAAGCCAGACTACCAAGAGTTTCTCAACCTGCACTGCTACCTAATTGCTGCAAGACCTAGCAAATTAACTCCTCTATACATCAATTTCCTCACCTGTGAAATGGCAATAATAGCGATACCTGCTTATGGTTGTTGAGGGTATTAAATTAATACATATAAAACATACAAGACAACACCTGGGATATAGTATTAGGAAGGGCTCTCCATAAATGAGAGCTGCTATTACATTATTATTGTTACTATTTAAAATTTTTACAACAAATACACTCTTCCCCCTTTTCTATTCCCAAGATCTCAAGGGCCCTGAACCTCCAAACTGGAACCTGTGGGTGTAACACCCATGCCCACATTTCTGCCAGGAAGCCTCACCGACTATCATTCCTTGACCACGGCACTTATGCATGTGGCTCCTACCCTCTGAAAATTTCTCCAGATGTGAGAAAAAAGATGAGCGCAGCTCTCCCTACACCTGCGTACCCCCCGAAGGTCACTCTTCCTTGGTTTCTTTTTCAATTTCTTTGGAGGGCCTGGAGATCCTTAATCTCTGCCTCCTCCTTTCACATTGTGCCTCTTTTCTGTCCATGCCTCCAGCTTCCCCGGTTCTCTGGTGTTCCTGCTGCGGGAGGGGCTCGGACTCCTGGGGTCTGGCTGGCTCTGCCATGACGGCCCCTGGGAGCTCCACATGGATGTGAACATTTGCTGGGAAAGAAGCAGCTTTAGAGCCATCAGGTGACTTCTGTTGAACCTCAGGGAGGTAATTTTTCCCTTATACAAAACACAGGGAGAATAAAAAGCTGTAATAAAAAGGCATCGGGGCATCTGAGTGCTCTCAGAAGGATGGCATGTTGATATGTCACCCACGGGATGTGGAAGAATAAAAGAATAAAAAACCCCAACAGTTCAGCAATGAGGAAGCATTTGTCAGCCACAGGCATGTTTCACCAAGGAAAAAAAGAAAAAATCTAAATGAAACCAACTAGATACAAAAGCCCCTGAATTAAAAACAGACCCTATTCTGGAATTCACTTTTGTTGTTTGGAACTCGTTTTTCTAATGGAACTGATGTTATAATAAGGAAAGACTTTTATTTCAGGAGAACTAGCTAAAGCCACCCACTGCCATGCTCACAAACAGAGGGCTGGGGGAGTCGTTGAAGGATTTGACTTTATATTGCAGATAATAAGGAGGCAGGTATTTTGTACCAAGTAATTCTTCATTGTACAGCAGGATGCACCTTAAGTTCCCTTAACTAGTGGCCTCTAGAGTGCATTTTATATATGCATTTCAAAGAAGCTGATTTACAGATTTTCAAGAGCAAGTCTCCAGGTGCACTCAGCCCATCAAGGCCATGAACAAAATCATACCTTGAACCTTGTATTGAGCTGTCACTACCTCTCCCTGACTCAGCACTGCAAGTGATACTTTCCTATTCATGTTTTCTTGGTTGTTTTATAATGTCTTGAACTTACCTTTTGATTGCTTTGCTTTTTACACTCTTAAGTAACAGCAGTTTGATACTCTTGGTTTGAAATTCGAGATTTAATATTTTGTCAGCACATTGATAAGCAAGCATGCACAACAAAACACATTTGCCTTCTAGCCTGCTCTTGCTGCTATTGTCTGGGCAGAACTCAGTTCCAAGCTTTTGGAGGTTGCTAATAAGGTCTGGAGAGGTCTGATTTAATGCAGCTGTCATTCCTGCCAGAAAGGTGTAGGGACACAACATTAATTGAAGACAGAAAATGTGAGGGACTGGTGGGTATCTAAGAATGTAGACAGGGGGCTCTTGAAGCCATCAGTATCAGAGTCACCTGGAGTAGTGTTAAAATGCCGAATCCTGGGCCACACACCAGGCCTGTTGACTCCGAATGGAGGCATTTTAACAACTCCCTAGGAGAGTCTGATACTCACTAAAAAGCTTACTGACAAAAGCACCTTTTCCACTATTTTCCTTTTACCTAATATAAACTTCTCTCTCCCCTTCACTAAAGATATTTTTATTAGAGAGCTTTCTGAGTCCCAAGCTGACTCCATGAGTTGGTATGGATGAAAATCCACAGAAGCAATGGACTCATTGCCTTTATAGGTCACTGAAGGGAAAATGGAAGTTCCGTGGCCAGGATCCTCACCTGCCCCTGGTCCGCTTGCCTGCTGTGCATGAGCAGTGCTTGCAGGTGTGGGCTTGCACACATGTTGGCAGTGAGCTATCACTGACTCTGTATAAAGAGCTCTGCCCAGTGCTTTGCAGTGGTGGGGAGACCTGCAATTGCCCCAGAAGGCAGACCAGATTCCAGCCCCCACCTGCCACTCCGAGAGTAAAGGTTGGTATAAAACCTTTTACCCCTAACCATCCATTGTTGTTATTCAGCCTCACTGAGTCCAGAGTGAACTTGCCTGGGGGCGGCCCACCTCAGGAGAGACAGTCACTTCCTTCTTCACTTGCTACTCCATGTTTTTGTGGATTCAGTAATATTTCAGGACCCATCACTAAGGGTTATGATCTGGCACATGTTTTATATATATTATTCCACTTAGCCCTTCAGTCAACTCTTCGAAGAAAGTACTATTATTTTTCCCATTTTACAGATGAGGAGATAGAGACACAGGCGAGATGTTGCAGAACGTCTAACAGCTAGTAAGTGGTGGAGCAGAATTTGAGCCAAGGATTTTCTGATTCAAAATTCATTCCCTTAGACGGTTATGCTCCTCCCTGTTAGCCTCTCCGAAGGATACAGCTTTTGCTTATTTTGCATTTAATTGGTCTACCTCTCTACAGTTCACCAGCCAGCTTTTGGGGAGATGGGTACAAATACGCTCATTTGTTCCTTTGTTTTTATAAGAGACATTGGAACATGTCAGACTTTTCAACAGGTATTGTTCAATCAATGGGAAAGTAGAAGCACTCCTCAAAAATTTGGAAATGTCTTTCCCGGCAAGCTACCCAAAGTGTTTTCTGGTTGATTCTCCCCTCCCATGTAGTATCACTTACCAATGGCGATGGAAGGCATGCCACCCACCTTGCTCGCTGATGCCGTGAATGATGGTTTTCCCTTCACCATCTGTAGCTATTAGGAATGTAATAAGACATTCATTTTCTCCTTGCAGAGAACAGGAAATAGAACCATCCTTTGAAAAATCTGCAGAGAAAAAGAGTCATTCATTAGGTTAAATGAGACTCCAAAAGAGATTATTTTTAAAGCAAAGTAGTAAGGAGTTTGAATATGCAAATAGGAATAGAAAAGACAGGATTTTCCCCACCAAATGAGGTTTCAGTTTCTACTCAGATTCCAGAAGAACAGTTCCAGGTGTGGTCAATCAGGACTGACCATCAGATGCACCTATCTGACTGATGGGGGCAGAATTTCAACAGAGGGGAAGTACTTTAAGGCAGGTAAATTTAGTTGTTTGGGGAACAGAATGGCCCTGATTATGGTAATTGGGGGGCCTATTTGTTCTTGGCTGAGCATCTGGGAGGAAGCATGGATTACATTTCAGAAAGAGACTACATGCTCCAGTCTGATACTGACACTTTTAAAGGGGCCTTTCCCACCGCAGCATAGTCACAATGGCTGACCATGTACTGTCAAGACAATAAGAATACATTAATATTAGGAAACAGAGGTTGAAGTGTTCTGTAGTTCAAGGACCAGCAGGGTGAACGTAAATCCTAGATTAAAAGGAACTCAGAATGACAGTTGCCTACCATTTGGTATAATTTCTTGATGTTTAAGGAAACGTAATCCAGTTTTCTTTTAAATAGAACTTTTTTCTCACTGAGCTTATTCAAGAGGCAGAAAATGAATGTCATGACAGGAAGTAAAAATATAGTAAAACCGTCAGTCTGAGATGTTAATACTGTTTTTCAGGAATTTCAGCACTCTGACACCTGTAGTAAAATTACGTAGCATTTTCCTAATTAAAAAAAAAACTTGCTTAAGGTTTTCTTATCTTCAAAGTGGGAGACTTTAATGATACTCTTACAAACTCTTTTTTTCAGAAATCTGTTTGCTCTCAACCTAAAATTTTTAAATATGTAATCCAATATTCATATACTATGACACATTGGATTAGAATATTAAAACTAGGACTGTTCCAGATAATCTTAGACATTACTAGATTGCTAGTGGATTATTACTTTTGCTAGACCTCTAACTTTTCTCATTAGCTTAAAAATAAAACGGTTTTAATAAGACAGAATCTACATGTGTTCCTTTAATTCTAACAAAGAAAAATTAAGTTATAGTCTTTTAGTTCAACCAGGCCACAGCCATGGACAGATAGAAATATTAAGTTGTTTTTGCATGTCAGGATCTGTTAGATATGCTCGTATTATCTATGAAAACGGGTGCTAATGAAACATTTAGCATTATTAGTAAGATTTCAGATGACAGATTCAAGTGAACAAATTATTTCTGAATTCATTAGAAACATCTACTTATACAAGTATACCAAGAATTCTAATTATAAATCATTCTTATCTGGTCATTTCCAAATGTTTACGATCATCTGAATCACCTTTGAAATCCATCTTTGAAAGTATGGATTCCAGGAACCCAGCCTTGGGTGTTTTGATTCAAGAGGTCAGTGGTATGCCCAGGAGCTTGTATTTTAGTGAGTTGTTTAATAGTTTTTTAATAAGGTAACTGATTAAGAGGTTTGGGAACCTCTGGGCAACTCCTGACTGGTAAAATTTGTGTTATTTCACAGCACCGATTATGTAATTCATACTTTGGTCAGTTTTAGATGGTGTAACAGGAGGGCTTTACGCACGTTCTCCTACCACACTACTCCAGTTAACTAGGATTCACAAAGTCTTGGGGAACATGCCTTTTCTTGTCTGAGTGATATTATTCCCTCCTTCTCCCTCTCCAACATGGCAGCGCACACCCACTCTGTTCCTCTCGAACTTACTTACTGGAACATTTTATTCTCAGGAAATATGTGTACGGCTTATAATACTCCTTTCAGTAACATTAATCCTGCTTTGTTATTTTCTTTTAAATAGCTACTCTGAAGCACAGGGAGGCTTAATTTACTTGGCCAGGATTACTTAAGTTTTAATGGAACTGCTAATGTGACCTTTGAGTCATGACTCCCTTCTTGCTTTAATTACTTCACCACTCCTTTTCATGACTGTGGGACTCTAGACTGAGCCTGTTTTGTAGTGTTTGGGTATTAAAGTGGTATTACCGAATGTGCAATGAAAGGATCCAGCTTGGGCTGGAGATTTGCATAATTAGTTGCTAAGGTTTTCTTTTGCTGTTCATAAGAAATGGACCTTTCTTTTTTACTCACCTTTCTGAGTGTCAGCAGTGTGGTTCTAGAATAATACAATGAAAAAAAAAAGATCTCAGGTGGCTCATGAAATCATACTTAGAAAAGGAAGAAATATGAAAATAGGGGTGAGGAGGCCAGGTACAGGAAAGTCCAGGAAGGATGTGGAAAATATAGACCGTCTGTACCATCCCTATGTGTTTAAAACCTCCACTCTGGGGCCAAGTCAATAGTTCTCAGAGAAAAACAGTCTGTCAGGAATAAAAAGGGTTCTGTGGTCAAATAAGTTTAGGAATTCCTCTTTACCCTAATTCTTCCCTGTGCCTCTCTTGAAAATTCATAATGCACATTTAACTTTATGTGCATAACAACTCTCAAAAGTCCTGCAAAGAAAATTAAAGGCATAGCTTTTCAGTTCCAAAATTTATATGACCATGGGTGCTTTTCTCCATTTAACACTTTTAGAGCTAGTGTTCCATGGAGCACACTTTGAGTAACAGAGCTCTGAGTACATGAATACTGGGGTAAATTAAAAATGTCTCTTTTAGTTAAATGCAATGAATAAAGTTAAACCACATGTCCTTAGATGTGCTTGGACAAGTCAAGACAGCACAGTTGAGGAACAATTTATTCAGATTAGGAAGTTTTGCTTATTTTACTTTTTCTCCATGTCCTTGCTGGGGGAAGGAGGGCTGATAAAGACCCTGTGTAAGAGCAAATATGCTGTGATAATTTCAAGATGATATGATCAATAACATAAGTGGGTGAATAAATTGAAATAGGACTTATAAAAAGGTGCATTCAGAAAGTGACTTTTTAATTCATAGGCTTTTTTTTCAGATTCATAAAGATTAGTGCTTTCAATGGCATTAGCAATTTATTATATGCAACTTTTGAGTTAGAAATAGTTGTATTCCCTTATTTTCAAGATAATTTAGTCAATTACACAAGAAGAATCTGATTACTTAAGTTTTAATGGAACTGCTAATGTGACCTTTGAGTCATGACTCCCTTCTTGCTTTAATTACTTCACCACTCCTTTTCATGACTGTGGGACTCTAGACTGAGCCTGTTTTGTAGTGTTTGGGTATTAAAGTGGTATTACCGAATGTGCAATGAAAGGATCCAGCTTGGGCTGGAGATTTGCATAATTAGTTGCTAAGGTTTTCTTTTGCTGTTCATAAGAAATGGACCTTTCTTTTTTACTCACCTTTCTGAGTGTCAGCAGTGTGGTTCTAGAATAATACAATGAAAAAAAAAAGATCTCAGGTGGCTCATGAAATCATACTTAGAAAAGGAAGAAATATGAAAATAGGGGTGAGGAGGCCAGGTACAGGAAAGTCCAGGAAGGATGTGGAAAATATAGACCGTCTGTACCATCCCTATGTGTTTAAAACCTCCACTCTGGGGCCAAGTCAATAGTTCTCAGAGAAAAACAGTCTGTCAGGAATAAAAAGGGTTCTGTGGTCAAATAAGTTTAGGAATTCCTCTTTACCCTAATTCTTCCCTGTGCCTCTCTTGAAAATTCATAATGCACATTTAACTTTATGTGCATAACAACTCTCAAAAGTCCTGCAAAGAAAATTAAAGGCATAGCTTTTCAGTTCCAAAATTTATATGACCATGGGTGCTTTTCTCCATTTAACACTTTTAGAGCTAGTGTTCCATGGAGCACACTTTGAGTAACAGAGCTCTGAGTACATGAATACTGGGGTAAATTAAAAATGTCTCTTTTAGTTAAATGCAATGAATAAAGTTAAACCACATGTCCTTAGATGTGCTTGGACAAGTCAAGACAGCACAGTTGAGGAACAATTTATTCAGATTAGGAAGTTTTGCTTATTTTACTTTTTCTCCATGTCCTTGCTGGGGGAAGGAGGGCTGATAAAGACCCTGTGTAAGAGCAAATATGCTGTGATAATTTCAAGATGATATGATCAATAACATAAGTGGGTGAATAAATTGAAATAGGACTTATAAAAAGGTGCATTCAGAAAGTGACTTTTTAATTCATAGGCTTTTTTTTCAGATTCATAAAGATTAGTGCTTTCAATGGCATTAGCAATTTATTATATGCAACTTTTGAGTTAGAAATAGTTGTATTCCCTTATTTTCAAGATAATTTAGTCAATTACACAAGAAGAATCCTGCAAATATTTTAAATGCCATTTGAGACCTAGCCTACTCTTTCTTTCAAATCCAGGCATTTATGGCAATCTACTCAGAAAACTGTATATATAAATACAGTGACTCCCTGCATGCTTCTAAGGTTCACTCCTCTTTTTCCGACAGCACATTAGATTTCCCACGCCGTTAGTTATTGAATTCTAGTAATTTGCAGGGCATTTTCTGCAATTTTTAGTCATTTCTTGGATACACCTGGTAAATATCCTATCTGTTTGTTGGGAAATGAAGCCAGAAGGATCTGCTAAGACTCCATATTAGTTACGAATGTGGACGGTCCACAGATGCTGCTTTATACTAAGTGCTTTTCCTGCATCTTACCTTCAGTATTAGTGTAAGGTACACATCACCTTGTCCAATTTATGGTTGTTTGGCATATTTATCTTCAGTCACCAGAAAAGCACAGCTGTGGGGCTTTATGAAGACTAATCATGCCCCTCCCTATAGGGTTATTTAACTGTGCACAGTGAGAAATCCCAGGTTTGAAACAACGTAAGACATTTTTTAAATGTCACTAACTTATTCCACTTTGGAAATGGACTAATTTCTGTATTCTAATTCCATCTATTCAAAATACACATCCTAGAGTGTCATAAATTATCACTTGATTATTCCACTTTGCCTGAGGTACATCTCGATCGTGTCTCTAATGGGCACAGAGCAGCCCATTGCATCTGAGCAGCATAATGCGGAGTTCGCGATGATGGAAAAACAAGTTCCCCCAGATTGTCCCTTTAGGAGGAGCCAGTCATTTCCTTTGTTTGAGAGTTCACAGATTATTTTTAAATGGCCTTCCCAGCTAAAATACAGCCTATTTAAATATTTGAGATGACATGTTGCCATTAGAATCTGATTTCAAGTAATTAATTTCACAAAGCCAGGTAGCAACAAGAGCAGAGGCTGCTTATCAGTTAAAGGCAACAGGCCCTTCCTGTATTTTGGAGGTGAGGCCACAGTGAATTAAGGACAGTCATGTCCCTGTTTAGAAGGTTGAGAGTAAAAGTATGAAGGGGAGAGAAGGAAAAATGGCCACAAACCAGGGAGTGCCCGTGTCTGAGGGCTGCTTTCAGGAACTCATGACACAGCACGCTTTGTCCTATCTTGAAATAAGGCTCAGATATTAGAGGAAAATTTCTAGTTTAGGAGTTAATATTTAGCTATTTCTTCAATTCTCTTCTAATTAAGGAAATATGCATTCTACAATTCTGTACAATTGCATTTACTAAACAGAAGTGACCTTGCCGACAGAGCTGAAGTCAGATAGAATAGCCATGACTTTAAATTGCTTGTATCCCAAACAATCAAATTTTAAACTTAATGGAATGCATTTACTCTTAAAAAGTAATGTGAGTGTACTGAATGCCCTGGTCCAAATGAGATCAAGCTCCTGAAAAACCCTTCATTGAGTTTCTGCCTCCCAGGAACTTTTATGTAAAGGGAAGGAAAGCAATTTCAGACAAGCAGAACCTTCTTCTTCATTGATGGTCGCACCAGCCAGCTTGCATTTGTCAACACACTCGTCCCGGGCCCGGCCATCTGCAGACAGGTGGCACTCGATGCAGCTCCTGTAAACATTATTCAACAGAGGTGATCAGTCGTGACGGTGGAAAATAGATATGTAGCTGGGATACGGCTTTAATGCTGTTACTGGGGTCTGTGTGATATGAGTGTCTCATAGAGGATGTTGCCTTTTGTTACTTTCAGAAGGATAGTTGGGTGATGTCCAAGAGGAAACTGCTTTTTTCTGAATTGTATTCAGTGATCAATGTTCCCCTGAGCCGTCCTTGATAATAGCTCCTATCATTTATCTGTAACGATTGCTTCTAATTGGTTGTTAACAAAAATTATTTTGGTATTTGATTTAGCTGTTTTCATTTTACATTTTCCTCAGAAGGGTTTGTGCTGCTTAAATATGAATTCTGACTAGACAAATTCTGAATTTCTTAACAGAAATAGTCTGTATCTTAACAAGAATTCTAGGAATCCACATATGTCATGAATGACTATTATAAATATTCACTTTTCTGTAACTCCTTTAAATGAGTCCAAGCCTTGCTAGGGGTATTTTCAAAAACTGAGGATTACAGCCTGGATCCTCATTAATGCAGGCTTTTTAATAAAAGATTGCTACTGTCAGAAAAGTGTATTTCCAAGAACATAGCCCGGGAATTAAGCTTCTCTAGTAATTTCTATACAGCACAGTAAAACTTAGCCCCTGAATTCATATTGCATTGCAAATCACTTTACAGACAGTGTCTGGAGTAACCCCAAACAGCGGAAGTTTTCTTACGGTGGGCCCGCATCATGCTGCCTCTTCTCTTTCCCTGGCCATGAAAATGTGCACCCTCCTAAGTTCTAGGCAATATTCCCTACCGCCACCCATGCCTCATCAAATTTCAGCTGAAACTGCATTTCTGGAGGCAAGCCTTTCCTGAATGTTACCCGTTAGCTCCCTTGTGGTGGGAGCCTCTGAATTCCTCTGCAGGAGGGGCTCAGGGCAGCAATCTCCTAGAAGCCTATGGGAGTGGGGATAGAAGCCTGTCTGGAAGTTCGCTTTGCCTTGCAAGCATATTGCATGATCTAGGTCATATATTTACTTGGAGCTGTTTTGTAGGGGACTGTCAGAGATTCTCGAAGTCCTTAAAAAAAGAACACCTCTGCCTCTGTGCATCTTATTGTGGGCTGCTCAAGGTAGTCTGGTAGCCCTATCTCCTGTCATATACTGCCACAGCACCCTTTTAGCCCGTGTTATAACTGTCCGCCCAGATGTCATTATAATCACTTTAAAAAATATCAACCTTTCCCACTAGATTCTCAGCACCTGCCATGGCAGGAACTGTAACCGTTTCATTCATCACTGCATGCTCATTGCCTGTTAAAGTGATTCCTGGCATGTAGTAGGTACCTACTACTACCTATTTGATAAATGAATGCATGAAAAAATAAATGGAAGAATGGACTCATCTCAAAAGTCACATAAACACCAAGGAGATCACTCTACCTGATTCCTCAAATACGAACTAGTTTGAATTGTTAATTTCCTATCTCATAAACCAGATTTAAGATAGAATCATGTTTACAGAGATGACACAGAAGTATAATAGAAGAAACATTTTCTATTAAATTCTATTCAAAAAAATCTAACCATGTCCCCATACTTTTTTTGGTATCTTCCCAGGCACAGCGACAGAGAAGTTTTGACACCTGAATGGTGAGTATCAACTGACTGAATATTGATTTTCTTTCTGCATTTACATGGTGAATGCAAAGGTCACCGCTTTGGGTACCAGAGTTAATGAAAATACCAGGTGCTTAAGCATGTTTGCTGCATCACCCATTATCCCTGTGATGTCATAACACAGCCAGTTTGGAGACTTGCTTCACTTGACCTACAAACGTCACCCCACTTCCATTAAGAAGTTAGCTGCCTACCAAAGAAACAGATTTTTTTAACTGGAAAATAGGAAAATGTGTTTTTGTCATTGTTGTTCATATGGTATAAAAGAAAATACAGCCCACAGAGCTGTGTGGAATGACGACCAGAGAAAGGTGTCAAAGGGCATAAGTGGTAAGAGGAGGGAAGGAAAGAGTCAGGATCATCTTTCTCCCTCATTGCTTCCAGGAGTCTGTGGCCAGGAATGAATGAGTAAGGGTGGCTGTAAACTTCCAGATAAGAAAGAAGCTTGTCTGGTTCCCCTGAAGGGGTTCTGCATGTAGGTGTTGCCAGTCTACCTCCAGGACCTTCCTTATGTGTGGCTGGTATTGTCACGGAAAGGCGATCTGATGTTATCAGTGTGGGACGTCAGCTCAGCTTCCTGGGGCTGGTCTCCAGCAGAAATGTGACCTTGTGGTCTTGGGTGATCAGGGCCGAGAAAAAGGCAAGGGACAGCCGTTCGAGGCTGATGAGCACAGAGGCCTTGGGCTTGAGCGCTTTGATGGAGGCTGGGAGATCCACCCCAGCAAAAGCCATCTGAGGTCCTAGCTTATAAAATGCCCTAACTTCCATCATCGTGAAACCTAGGGACAAAGGCGCTGAAGAAGGGAGAGATGTTACCGTCTAGAGTTACAGGGATCGCCGCAGGTAGGGCAATGTTCACAGGTGGGTCCCGAGGCCCCCGGGTTCTTGCAGACACACTTGCCGCACACGCAGTCCCCGCGGCCGCTGCAGAGCGCGCCGTCCTCGGAGACGCAGGGCTCCGTGCGGCCCGAGCAGTTGCAGTACTCGCCCGTCCAGCCGCTCCGGCACTCGCACTCGCCGCACGCGCAGTCGCCGTTGCCTGGGGAACAAAACGTCTGGGTTGCTCAGGGCCAAAGCCATTCCCAGTGTTCAGGGGCCACCTTTCCTCTCTGCCCTCAGACGCCACCGAAAAGATGGAAGCAAAAAAGATGAGGAAGAAGGGAGCCGGTGCGGGGAGGGAAGGGGTTGAGTGTAGGTATGTTTTCTGGGATGCATTTTGCTGGGTATGTTTATTGATCTGGTCTCTTAACTGAAGATTAACTTGATTACCTGATGTTATATCAAACAGAATTTAGAGTCACATGAAATGAGACAATCCAGAAGCCTATAATAGCTGCTGGTGTGTGTGTGTGTGTGTGTGTGTGTGTGTGTGTGCGCGTGTATGCGTATAAATACATATATATATTTAAAATGGTTTGTAACTTTTTAAATTTTGATTAAGCTGTCATGGGATAGGGATGCAAGACAGACCTGGATAATACCCCACCTCCATGTCACTCTAGCTGAGTAGAGTAATCATAACTGCCTCATCTGTAAAAGACAGGAAATTAAATTTCCTTCTAATAGTTGCAGTCAGATGCGATGATGTGTGAATCTCCTAGCTTGGCGTTTACCACTTAGATGTCCTGCAGGCATATAGTGAATGCTCAGAAAATGCATTTATTTAACAAACTTGGATGGAGCATGTACCCTGTGCCAAAGATTGTATTAGGCCCAGGGATACGAAATTAAGTAAGATAAGGTCACTGAGCTGATAATCTAGCGTAGAAGACAAGCAAACAAATACTATGAATAACAAATACAATACAATATGATGCATGCTAAGTGCACAGGGGAAGAGTTTGCAAATTAGAGATTTGGGGAAGTTTCTGACTTAAGTGAGGCTTGAGCCGAGGTTGGAGGATCAAGATAGAAGATAGAAGAGGGTTACATGCATTCTAAGCAGAGAAAAAATCATTGGTAAATGACAGAAGTGTGTAATTGTGTGACCTGCTTAATACCCACAGTAGGTTCATATGGATACAGTCAAAGCTACATGTGGGGTGTGGCATGAGGGAAGGATGGGAAGATTAGCAGAAAGTCAGAAATCACATCATGAAAGCTCTGTGGCCAAAATAAGAACTTTTATCCTGAGAGTTATGGAATTTTAAGTAGGGGAGAGACCTGAACAAACAGGTGTCTTGAAATATCCTGACATCAATAGAGAGGGTCAAACTAGAGACAGGGGGATTAGTCAGGAGGTTCTTGCAGCAGTAGAAGCAGGAACCGTGGAATGGAGAGGAAAGGGTCACAGTTCCAGGCTGGAATACTGTGGGTGTGAGCGCAGCAGGTGCCCGTGCAGGCGGGCAGACAGGGAGGGAATCAACCTCAGGTGACCAGGCGGGTGGCTGGGCGTTTTCACTGACCTGTGCTGGAAGCTGGCTCATGCTCAGTACCTTGTCCCCAGTGCCGGGTGCAAAGTAGTGCTGCAGTTTGGAGCGAAGAGATTGCTCTGAGGCAGAGGAGGAAGAGCAGCTGTGAGTGGGGAAGAGCTTGAGGAGCTTGTGGGTGTGTTAGTAGGTGCGTGAATGTGGGCACAGATAGACCTGTAGTTTGGGGGGTGGGGTCCGTCAGGGACAGGTGGCTGCTGAGACTGGGGGGCATCCCATCATCTAGACTAGAGGAAGCAGAGTAAGAAAAGCCCTGGAGAATATCATTATTTAAAATGTGATCAGAGAAAAAGGGCCCTTACAGAAGAGACTGAGAAGTAGGAGATTATGAGAGTGATGTCGCGGGAGCCTCGGGCAGAGGCCGCTCGGAGGAGGCGGTGCGTGGACAGCTGCTACCCGCGAGCACCTCATCTAGTCCTGAAGAGCCCCTCGGGACCTGGCCACATAGTGGAGTGTGAAATACTGTAAGATGACTGAGTGTTTGCGATAATAGCCTAGTGCTCTTTCCATAATATCTTTCGGGTGCCTACCACAGCCAAGATACTAAAAGAGGCATGGGATGTTCCAAACAAATACCATTTATTTACAAACTTCCCTAACTGAAACTTTCCTTCAGAAAAAGAAATGTATCCCAGGCATTGCCTCATTAGGTTTGCTCTTCCAGTACCTACTGTGAAGGTACAGGGGGAAGGCCGAAGTGGGGGAGCACTCAGATCTGGATCCAGAAGCAAGATCCAAGTCCTAGCTCCAGTACTTCCTGTCTGGGTGAAGTCGGGGAACCTACTTAATCTTTTGTGCCTCAGTTTCCTCATCTGTCAGGAGGGATGGTTAGCTATTTTATAGAATTATTATGAAGATTACATGAGATAACATATAACAATGTTAAGGACAGTGCCTGGCCCATAAGTAAGCAGTATAAAAGTATAAATTATTACCACCATTCCCAAAAACTATCCAGTAGGAAGAATTTGAAAGCAAAATCATCTATTAGTATTAAACTCCTATAATGGTACTGAAAATCCAACTGATGTGAAAGAAATGACAAGTGAGGCAGGTGTCCACCTGTAGGAGACACTGCCACATTCAGCGTAGAAAGACAGTCATTTTGGGTTTCCTCTTGTAAACTTGGGTCTATAGGGGTTACTTTTCTGTCTTTACTACCTGGCCTTACAAGACATGGAGTAGGAAATCACAGATCAAAGGAGATAACCACAAAGATCTCAAAGTTGGAGTCTGATGGCTCCCAATATATACATATAGTAATTTAGTATGTATTATATATATATACATACTGCATAGTCATATATTTCTCTAATGAAAGAAAAGAGTTAACAGTTTATCAGGATGCATGACATGAAGACATATTCCAAATGCATTTCATAACTTAGTTAATTCATAATTGAACTAATTAATTCAAAGCTAACTTAGGTGATTTAGGTCAAAAACCATTAACTTAATTTTTACATATAAGTTAGTCTCTAAACTACAATTGCTTTCCATTTCTTCCACAGAATCATTTTATAATAGTCATGCAATAGATTTTTAAATACAGTGATTTTATATAGGACATTAAACAATAAATACTTCTGCACTTAAAATTTTTCTCGATCTTAAAAAATTCCAAGCAGTTTTTATTTTCAGCCTTTCCATAGACTTCTTCACACTATGTCCTTATTCATCTTTATCATACCCTGTGCCTAACTTGTTACTGTCACACAATAGGTGTATAATAAATATCTGTGGAATGAATGGAGGCCCAGAAAGCCCATTTAGTATTTCTGTGCCCCTCATCCTTGGCAGTATGTTCCTTGAACAGTCTAGCTTTTTATTTTTCCGAGTAATAGTCATTTAGGGAATGGGTCAGATACCCAGCAGTTTGATCCTGAAAAGTCTAGAAGATAATGGAATTCAGAGTACATGCAGTGTTGTGGAATCTGGGTGATAAGATAAAGGAAGATACTTCCATCCTTTACCTACCTACTCGATGAAAAAAGATAATAGAGATGTAAGTTCAGTTGGCAGATATCACCCCAAGCTAACATGAGAGCCAGAAAAACACAAGAGACCAGTTACCTTACATCTAAAGATTAACCCATTCAGTTGATAAGCAAATATTTATTGAGCACCTACTATGCCCAGGCAATTGTGGAAGGTGCAAAGGATGCAAAGCCCCCTCTCAGTATTTGCACAGCCACAGCATGAGGTGGGTGGAGACATAGCCTACCTCCACAGAGCAGTCCTTTGTGTCTCACACAGGAGAAATTGTCACACTGGCAGTAAGGCCCATAAATGTTTCCGTAGGGAGACAAATGGCAGATGCACTGCCCACAGTAGCAATCGCCTCTTCCACTACACGAGGGGTGGCCCGGGGTCTCTTTGCAGGAGTCTGTGCTCAGCATGTCCTCCCCGCACTCACAGCGGGGTCCCATGTGGCCAGGGTTGCAGGCGCATACCCCACACTGGAAGGAGCCGCTGCCGTTGTGGCACTTGGGGCTGTTCGCTTCCGCTTCCTTCTGACAGTCACAGCTGCACTGTGGACTGACAAGTATTTCCATGGCATCCCCCAGCCCCACAGGCTTTATGACAACACGCCTGCTTCTCTCACAGTTTGGTATACTCACAGTCACGTTGAATAAAGCCTGAAAGAGAAAATACTAATTATCTTCTTTTTCTATCCACCAAAATGCACGGAAGAAGCAAAGCTGCCCAGGGATCAGCTTTGCCAAAAGCATTTATTAAGAGATTTGTGAAAATTGCTTTTGAAATTCTTGAAAGAAAAAGACCAGCTCCAGTGCACTGAGGGAACTTCTGACTTATCTGAATGTTTTTTCAGATGATCTATTGGCCAGGTACTTACTGTGTCTCCCACCTTCATGTGAGAGCATTTCTTCTGGTGTGGAAAGACAGTCCCATTGTTGCACACAGCTGTGAAAGACAGGTTGAGTCCTTCTGTGTCTCCCAGTACTTCCAATTCCACCTCAGACCGCAGTTCCTTTAGTTAAGACATAAAGAATTAAAGTGACAACCAAAAAATAGAGCAGAATAAGAATCTGTGAATCATGTGCATTTAACTACAAATGAATAAAATTAAATTGGGTCTAAAAGAAATTCACCATATCATCAATTAAGCAAGAAAGCAAGTAGATACACACACACATGTATTTTATTGAATCTAAGATGCCATCAATTATAAAATATACCATTATTTTATGACAATTAAACTGTGATAGAATACTTCAGGATCCTACTATGCAACATATGAATCAGTCCCATCAGTCTAACCTTGCTTAGAAAATCATTTGATCCATTCTGAGAGATTTGGCAAATTCTCCAACCATGAGTTTCATTGGTTGGCAAATAAAAGGCAATTCTTTCCCAAGTATTGCAGTAACAAAATATAAAAACAGCTTCTTTTACTTGTAACTATCATCATCTCCTAGGTCTCATAAAGCAGCTGGTTGTTGTTTTGCAAGGAATACAGAATTGCAGTCATTCCTTCAATATGAATATTTGCTTCATTGATATCAAATTTGTACCTGCCCTGCAGCTCCATTTTGGCATATTTCTGCATATACCACAACTTTTCATTTCAATATGAATCACTGTGCAAACTTTTTGAGGGTATTTTAAAGTGACAATTACACTGAACACTTAGAGCACCAATGGTGCATTGAATAATTGAAGTGTCAACAACGTGTACAGTTACAGCCAAGTTCATACATGTGCAGGCAATGAAAACTACATCTGACTTCTGCCTGGATGATAGCATTTATAACAAACATTGATTATAAGTATCCCAATTTCAGAGATGATAAAATGTGGGAGAAAATGTGCCTGGAAATCAATATTGGAATGTGTAGAGTACCTATTTTCTATTTAGTGTAGAGTCAGGTCTGGGGGAGTGAGTATAAGACTGGATTTCTGCTGTTAAAATGACTATCATCTTGCTGAGAAAAACAAGATGGAACCCAGTGAAGCAGTTAACATACAATATCAACCAATGAATCACTTAGCTGAAAAAAAAAAAGAAACCATTGTACAATACAGATGAGGGTTTGGAAACAGTAAGAAAAGAGGGTGGTCAGTGAAGGCTGAAGTATTAGAAGACTGGTCCTTAATGGCTGTGTTGGATTTAGATGTGTTGGGGGGATAGCAATGGTATTTCAGGCAAGAGGACTGGAAAAGAGAAAGCTCAGGGCACAGAGTGGAATAGAATGAGATAAGTGGGGCTCAGAGGAACCTGGCATTGCTACTGTCCCAGGAGACACTGGACAACAAGGCGCCCTGAGGTTTGGAAAGATGAGTTAAGACCCATGGGCAACATCTCCTGAAACTTTTTAAGCAGGGGTCAATCTACTTAAGATCATTTGCAGGACAACCTAGTGGAGGGGGGATAAGAAGCCTTGAGTCAAGAAAGCTGGGATGTTGTAGCGCTTGCGTTGGCCTGATGCACGAGTATTGAGAACTGGGGGTGTCTGGAATTGGTGATGATGCACACTGCAGGGAGGAAGACTAGACATGAGGCATGTGGTCATGGTAGAAGGGGAGAGAAAGGTAAGGTTTTCCAGGAGGAAGAATGTCAAGAAAGGAGGAAGGGACAGCCATTTGTTTGGGGGAAAAGCTCGTGTTATTATTCAGACTTTCTCTGTCCCTCTTTCTTTTATAACACAGAAGTCTCTATTTGGGGGACAAAACTGAATTATTAAAAATAAAATAATAATACAAATTGAAAAAAGGTTATGAATTAAGGTAGACTTCAGTTCACCTAAAACCATTTGTATCCCTATACCCATTTCATTGCTAGAATTTTAAAAGCATATGCAGTCAAATTTTCCTTGTGCATAATTTTGCCAATGGCACAGTCAGATGACCTTGTCTTCCTCCAAATTTAAGCTGCTGACAAAATTCTGTCTCTCCTCTGCCTTGCTTTCCTACCTGCTCCGTGTCATCACTCCTCAGTGGATGGACACAGGCTGACTCTTCAGAGCATGGTCTTTATCAGATATTGCAGTTTCACTTCCCCCCATTGTGTTATTCCTAGTATGTCTTAAGATTTCAAATCTGCCAATTAAGTATTAAAATTACTCTTAGTATGTTTTATTTCAACTAGTTATGTTACATATTTATTCATTCAGAAAATATATATTGAGTGCCTACGAAGTAGGCATATTGAGGTCAGACGCAGTTCTAGGTGCTTGGGAAACAAAAACCACTAAAATAGCTGAACTCTTGTAGTTTAAATTTCATTGTAGGAAGACAGAAAGAAAACAATATAGTAAATAAGAAAATTATATGGCACACTAGAAGGTGGTAAATGCTATAGAAAAAAGTGTGGGGCAATGAAGATTAACAGAATGTGTGCAGTCGGCAAGGACTGCAATTTTTAAAAAGTAGTCAGGGTAGGAGTCCTTAAGAGAGCGACATTTCAAGGAAGCGAGGAGAAACTGGCCATGCAGATATTTGTGCAAAGAATGTTCCAGTCCGTGCAGAGGCAGGAACATGTCAGACTTGCTCTGGGAACAGAGCAGCGAGAGGGCAAGGGTGGCTATGCTGGAGAAGGAAGTTAGAGCTGAGGGCTAGGAGGAGAGGGGAGTGAGACAGGGGAGGAGATCTGGAAGGTGTTAGTAGTGAGCCAGTATAGAGAGTTCAGCTTTTACTGTAAGTAAAACTAGAAAACAATTAGGCTTTCCTACAGGAGGGTGATATGAGCTGACTTAGAAAATTTTAGCTGTTCTTTTGAAAACAGAATGTAGGAAACCAAAGGTAGGAAGGTGAAACCGCGTTTGGGAGGCTTTTGCGGTAATTCAGAGGAGTCAAAGTCCCGGATGTGACTGGGGTGAGGGCAATGGAAGCAGTGACTAGGTCAAATTATTAATAATTTTGAAGAAGAGCCAACGAGACTTTCTGATGGATTAAATGTGCAGTGTAAAGGAAAAGGTGGGGGAGTCAAGGGCTGTTTCAGGCTTTCTGACTCTAGCAACGGGAAAGAAGAAATTAGCTAGAGAAGGAGAAAACTATTGGTGAAGCATGTTTGAGAGAGTCAGGTTTCCTCTCCTGAGCTTTCAGCTAACATATCAACCAAGTTCCTAGACATTTACTCTTGGATGTCTGCTGGAGAAATACAGCATGGTTGCTGGGCAGCACCGAGGGCCACTTGGAGATGCCCAATCATGAATTTAAAGGGACACTGGTTAACATTAGTGTATGGTTTTCCCACTGCCATTCAGCCATGTGGAGTGGATGGACAGTTGGATTTAACCAGGACCAAGGTTGGCCCAGCAGCTTCAGAGGAGCGCTAAGGGGCAGGGGAGCTGTGAGTGTGTCTAAGGGACGATCAGAATGACTGATGGAAGCTGGGTCCCAGGCAAGAGAGGATATCAAGGGGATGAGCAACTGTAAAGAGAGGGTGAGGTCGAGTAGCTGAGATCTTGGTGGACTGGAGGAAGCATTAGGGGAACTAGCTGGAGTGGGCTGAGAAGATAGGAAGGGATGAGCAGGCAATGGGCTGCGTGCAGCTGAAATTAAGGAGCAGTTTGTTGGCAACGACCAGGTTTAAGTTAGGAGAGGAACGGTTTGGGAAGGCGGGTAAGTGGAAAGAGAACGAGATCATTTTAGAATCAGAGTTCAAGAAACTGAAGAGGCCAGGGTATGGGAAGAATTATATATACTTAAACTGAAAACATCAAGAATGAGGAGGAGTAGTGCTGGAGGCAGTGGCACAGTGGGCCAGGAGCGGAATGAGAAATGAGGGAAATGACCTGAAAGTCTGTAGATGACAGCAATTAGGAGCAGTGGATGACATCATCTGACCAAAATGAGGTCTACCTAAGCATTGATATCATTGGACTGTCACATTGCAAATTTCACAAGTGTTTGTCTGTTTCATCATCTCATTCATGTGATTATTGAGCATCTACTGTGAACCAGGCAAAACAAACAAACAAACAAACAAAAAAACAGAGCCCCTTCTGCTCTGGAGCTTAAATGCCAGTAGAGGAGCTGGCCTTTGGGAACACTGATGTTTCCATAGCTTTTATCACGTGGTTAGGGAAGGAAGGAAATTAGTGAAGGGTGGTCAGATGATTACATATCTGGTGTTTAAGGGTTTTTTTTAAGTCCGTATGGCACTGTCAAATACTGAAGTTTGTGATCACGGATTAGAAACACAAATTATCTGCCTTTGCCCCAAGAGAAGTCAGTCAGAAGCATTTTATGTTTTTTTCTCTCTCAATGTATTCTCTTTCCTTCTCTCTCTGTTTATAGACTGGAAAGAATCCAGTCTATGAATTCACATGTTTTAAAGTCCTTTTGTAATACATTTGAAAATAATGGAATAGAAATTTGAACTAGTGCCTACTTCACCCGGTGGATCATAAAGTTTGGATAATAACTCCAGAGCAAGATTGTTTGGTATGAGAATAACAGACGTGTCTTTGTATTTTTGAGACCGCAAAATTAAGGACACAAGATTCACTTCAAATGTTTGATGCCTTGATTTCAATAAACCCTGTAAGTTACGTGAGTGATTTGGGACCATACACGGAGATATAACGTCTGACAGAGCAAGCAGAGGTATGGAGGGGGAAATATTTTGACAATTCCCTGTTTTCTAATTGACTCAATTCCTTTGAGTGGCCAACACTTCTAAGAGTGCTGAGTTAAAGAGAATTGAGTGTGTTCTATTCAGTGAAGGATTGCTATGTGATTTGATTCTATGCACTAAAACTTTAATTAGCGCATGAGAAGGAGGAAGATGTTTACAGTGTTTTGTTGACAAGCTATCCTGTCTGGAAGAATTTCAAGCATGATCTAATGTGGTGATTTTTCATATGAGCTAAGAAAACTGAAGTTTTTGAGGATGTGAGTGAAAAAAGCCTCAACCTACAGTTTTACTGGACACATCTGCATTTTATCCTCTGAGGTAATGTAGTTGAAAAGCCATATCTTGCTTTTCCCCCTTTAGATGAGTTTCAAAGTTGGTGGTCAAAAATCACTGGGGAGTTTTTTCAAAGTTTCTAGCTCTTCTTTCCCTTAAACTTCTCCTAAGAGGTTTGTGAGAGGAACCTGAATACATTTATTTTTTAAAAAGCTTCCCAAATCATTCTGAAATGTCATTTAGTTAAGGAACACTAGTTCAGCATATCCTAAGTATTGGCATTGAGTACATATGGGTAATATATTCATAATTTTAAAACATCAGAAGTCAGAATGTTATTCATTTCTTATTATATAATTGCTGTTCAGAGCAAATATTAGAGCTTTATAAAATTTTACTGTTTCATTCCTGTCCTAATTTAGAGCTACATCTTTGTCTATGCATATATGTGTGTGTGTGTGTGTGTGTATTTTTTCTTAGTAAAGAAAGACAAACCAGCAGGGTTGGGGGCAGTGGGCAGGGGTGATATTTAGGAACCCAAAAAAGAAAAAAAGGGGGGACAAGTGGTCATCCACTGTTGATTGAGTTATGAAATGGGGACAAAAGAGAACATAGTGGTCCTGTATGTATAGGTCTTATTTTAAAGGAGGAATTCTATCCTCAGGTACTAATTTACAAGGTCACGGTAAAAAATTACATATACATAGAAAACCGTAAGACCAGTGGGAAATTTCCCTGGTTCCTCAAAGTAGAGAATCTATAAAGCCGTGTTCCTGGTATTTTTTTCCTGGAGTTACGATGTGTTCCAGTAAGCCTGTGAAGTTAGATCTCCACACGACTCTCTTATTCACTGGCAATTTAAACTTGATTATTTCAGGCAGAGAAGAGGGGAGCTTAATTGTATGACTCCTGGAGATTTTTCATTAGAATTAAAATTTCGCAGGTGACAGCTCTGCTGTTGATTGTTATTATAAGAACAACCTTAACTTTATGATCACGCTTATGCTTTTCCTACAACCTTAACTTTATGATCAGGCTTATGCTTTTCCTACCTTCTGCCCCACTTTTCAGGAAGAACATCTGCAAATGAACAAAATTTATATTTTGGCTTCATTAGTGCAAAGAGATTTTCTTTGGATAAGCACTCTCTCTGCCAACAAATGAGAGTGTGCTTAATTGCCAAAAACACATCTTAGTTTTATGAATACCACAGAAACAAATAAGTAAAAAGCCAGTTGTAAAACGTCATACTTCATAAGCTGAGATGATCAGCTGGAGAATGTTTCCGGAGTCCTTCTGAAGTAGCCCTACTGTAGCTCCAGGAATGAGTTTTGCATAGTTCTGTAAACAAACAAAAAAAAGAGTCAGTCAGTTTCACTGTAACTGAGAAGCGGGGAAGTGTGGGGTTCTTCCTGCTGGTTGCGAACGCCTGTTTCACTGGTGGGGGGAAATAATCGATGGGTGTTTGTCCCGCTACTGTCAGTTGCCCTTGTTGCTCTCAGGTGGGAAATAGACCAGCCAGAGTCGCCACCGGAGAAATCCGGGGTCTGCAGTTGCCTTAGAGTCGGGCTGTGATTTACCTCAGGGCGGGAGTCAAATCTCAAACAACAGTAACACTTATACAATGTCTTCCATTTGCGGATTATCCTTTGTTCAGAAAATTCTGAGCATACTTCCAGGAACTACCTTCTCTTCTTACATCGTCGGTGGGAACCAAGGGCGGCACACACAGGCCCTCATGGACAGCGGGTCACTCTGCAAGTCATTCAGCCCAGGGCTCTGAATTACCAGTTGCTTGGTGGAGAAAAGGCGTGAACTCCTTGGAGCTTGCTGTCAGTCATCCATTTCCTAGCAGTAATGAGCAGGCCCTCTTCTAGGGATGCCAGCTGGGTTAGTTGGCATCGCTCCCCACTCCTACGACTGAGTCAGCACCCAGCTCTAAACAGTCGGCTTCCTCCACCTGCATCGCCTCTCCTGAGACAGCATTCCCACCCGAGAACTCACTGTATTAGTTCATCAACATCCAGGTACCCAGCACGGCTAGGAAATGAGACATTGCAAAGAAAGACATTTTCTAGACAGCTGAAAGTTACCCATCCCTTAAGTTTTATGTTTTAAAACTTGATTTTTCAAACAAAAAGTGTCCCAAAGTTTACAGTACACATTCTCGTCTTCTTATATAAAGACTTGCAAGCATACTTTGACTCTTTTCCTTGAAGAAATAAGGTCATACTTATTTAAATAACCAGAGCTCTGTAATCATCAAAGGCTTCTGAAATCCTTGGGTAGATCACACCCACACTAAGCGGCCCCACCTGTTCTGTTTGTGCTTCTTTTCTTTGCTTTCAAATAGTTTCTGTCTTCTTATTACACTGTAGGGTACTGCTCGCTTACCAATTTACTCATTTATTGCTTTACTGGTACATTCACCAACATCTATTAAGTAGGACTTCATACGCTCTGCTTTAGCGCGAAGAGACAACCACTCTTTCTGCCAGCTGCAGTCTTCTAAGTTGCTGTGGCTGTGAAATCAGATGATTGAATTCATGAAAATCGTATGTAGAAAAGAGAAATAAGCTTTGAGTGAAGGATTTAGAGCATCTCAAATAGTTTGAACAGAATGATAGCCTATTTTATGACAAAGAAGCTTTAAGTAGTTTAGAAAATGCACAAAACTAAACTAGAATAAATAATTATCATTAATTGTATTTGTGATACTAAGTAAATAAATCAGGACAAGAGGACCTAAGAAGGGGAATAAATGAAGGCAGGATGACATTAGAATGCCAGCATGTTCTAGGAGGTCCAGGGGCACGTGCTAGAGGTGGGTCCTGGATTAGGTCCAAGCTCTCGACACCTCTTGTGTGGAAGAATGTGCTTTGGCTTTAATTTGTGGGTTTTGTAAAGTTCCACTTACTCCAGCGTTCATGACTGTGTTTAAGTTGGAAGTGGATGGAAATCTGAACTCGTGTCAGTTGTCCTTGTGCCTCGACACTGTGCTTTGTTAGTGAAGGGGCTGTGGGCAGTCATCCGGGTACCAGTCCTCCCATCACTCATGCCCCATTTCACGGCCCGTTGAGTGGTGGCCCTACTCGGTTTCCCTGAGTCAGGTAAACTTGTCAAATATGAGGACGGTACCAGGTCACCGCCTTACCTTTCCAAATAAACACATGTCAGAAGGGCCCTGAAGCATGAGACCTGCGGTTAACAGTGAACACCCAAATAGGAACTTGAATTTCACTCAAGTGGAGCTGGAATGTATGTAAATTTAACTGGGTCTCAGAAGAGGAGGCAGAGGGAAACTTTAGAGCTTGACAAAGAATGGTTTAGATCCTTTGGGAAAAGAATTTCAAGGCTCTTAGCTTTGCATGAAACTGCTGTTCTGGAAAAATATCCTGGTATCCCCAGCGCTGAGGTATTTTCCACATGCGCTAGTTTAAGTGGCCTCCGGACTTTGGGTTAATTTGTGGTTAACAAAGCCAAATCCATCTACTTCCTAAAGCGTAATTATGATCCTGCATGGGGTGTGACATTCGGTGTTTGGCTATTAGGACAAGTGATTTAACAGTAATCGCATTTTCAACTGCCACTAGAGCAAGGGCATAAAAGAGTTGGCAGCCAGCAGCAGTACCCAGTGGTAACACTGACAACTGTGTAGAGGAAAACTATTAATTAATTTCTGGATGCTGATTCCCCCCAAAAGCATCACAAATAACTAGCTAAAAACATGGGCAATTTGGCTTCCTGATCTAGCACTGTAAAAAATTATACTTTAAATCTTGTAGTATTATGATTACTATAAATATGTGTCAAATGCCTTTCTTTGATTAAAGCCCTATAGTGCTATTGTAAATTGTCCTGATTAAACATGTTTAACATTAGGAAAAGGATGATTCTCGCATGTCTGGATGTGATAAATTATAGTACTGTGACTGTAAAAGATAACTCTTGGATATTAGAAATGGTGAACTCTGGAAACGCAATGTTGCATGGGCTGATTAGAAATGGGAACTCTGAGTTGAATTCCCTGTTACCTGTCCGTGGATTACCTGTGTTACGGATTTTCCTCCTCTCCTTCCAATCATGCCACCCGGGAGCTCCTGAGGGTGCTTTTCTCATGTTTGCAAGGTTGGCCTCTTCTGATTGCCTCAGTTTTCTTAACTTTCTTCATCAAGCTCTATTTATTCACTCTGCCCTCATTTCATAAGATTTCTTATTTGTCCAACAGTCTGCATTTGTTTTCTGGAAACCTCCTGCTTGTCAAAGTGGGAGGATGAGAGATGGACAAGGGATCACTTAGTGGGCAGGCATGAAAGGATACAGCGGAAAGTGCCTGAATTCACCGCGCACATTTTGGATTCCTCTCAGAGAGTACCTCCAAGTTCAGGGCCTCTTGGCATCTGGCTGCCAGGAGCACCTCCTGCTTGGCTGAGGCAGAGGAATGTGCAGCTGTGGGCAGGCTGGTGGTTGGCTTGCTTTTCCAAGAGACTGATGTTGAGGACCTCGGCCGACCCCCAGATACTTGGGGTGCTATCTTGGCTTCCTCCTGGATGGAAGGGACAGCTCCTGACATGCTCTTTGCTCCTGCTTTAACTGCACTTCCTGCTGGGTTCACTCTCCTCTTCAGGTTCCGAGTATGGCTGTGGTCTGGGACATAGTGTTAACTGCATTCTCGCAGGGCACCTTGATCGGGTTTCTGCCTTGGATGGTGACTCTCTGGACCACCTTTGTGACCTATCTGGTGGAGTCTCAAAGACCCCTCACCACTCAAACTCTTTAGCCACCATTTTATTGGGACCACATTACTCATGCCCCTCGTCAGAGTGGGAAGTCAGAAGTTGACTTGCCATATATTGGCTAGTGGCATTGTAATAAAGAATTTATAAAACCAAGTATTTAGAGCAACCTGCTGCTTCTCCTTAGATTCTGTGCCTGCTTAACTCTTTTTGTGAAACCTCACTAATATGGAGGGATTTTATATTCAGCAGTGTTTATTTTTGATATTATACCATTAAGCAATGTCAGTGGTTCTTGTCTTTTTCTCTTTTTATGGATGTTTTTAACTGGAATAAAGCTGATATACAATATTATATTGGTTTTAGAAGTACAGCAAAGTGACTTGATAATTATATACATTACTAGATGTTTGCTATTGTAAATGTAGTTACCTCCATTACCATACCAAGATATAACAATATTATTGATTATATTATATATGTTATACTTCCATTCCTATGACTAACTTATTTTACAACTTACAGTTTGTACCTCTTTATTCCCTTTACCTATTTCACCCATCCCCCCACTCTCTTCCCTACAGTAACCAACAGTCTATTGTCATTATTTTGGGGTCTATTTCTTTTTTGTTTTTATTTTGTTTTTTAGATTTCACATATAAGTGAAATAATATGGTATTTATCTTTCTCTGCTTGGCCTATTTCACTCAGCATGATACCCTCTAGGTCCATTCATGGAGTCACAGATAGCAAGATTTCCATCTTTTTCATGGCTGGGTAATACTCCATTGTGTATATGTACCACATCTTCTTTATCCATTCTTCTATTGATGGGAATTTGGGTTGATTCCATATCTTTGCTATTGTAAATAATGCTGCAGTGAACATAGGTGTGCATATATCTTTTCAGATTAGTGATTTTGTTTTCTTTGGGTAAATTCCTCGAAGTGGAATTGCTGGGTCATATGGTATTTCTAATTTTAACTTTCTGAGGAATCTCCATATTGTTTTCTATAGTGGCTGGACCAATTTACATTCCCACCAACAGTGTAGGAGGGTTCCCTTTTCTCCATATCTTTGCCAATAAATTATTTCTGTCAGTGTTTCTTGTCTTAAACTCTGCTTGTTAAATATTTCTTACAAAGTACTTTTCCTAAAAGGTTGGTTTGTATAGATTGAGAACCCATGATGTCATATAATCTTTTCACAGGTATTTTCTCTAATCTTTCATGTATTTCTTCTTTTTTGTCATTACCTTGTATCTCTTCAGTTAAGTGACTCCTGTTTGTGCATTTTCTTTCTTTCTCGGAAAGCTTAATGGCAGTATAACACACATGCACAGTGTACAAGTAATAAGTACATAGTTAAATGAATATTTAGAGAGTAAACAAGCATGTGTAACCACCACCAAGATCAAGAAATAAAACATAATCAGCCCTTTGGAGCCCTCCCTTGGACTGCCTCCCTGTCATTATCCTCTCCTAAAAGCCTACCCATGATTTTGAAATTTATCACTTCAGAAGTCAGGGGAGAGATCTCTGTGGCCTTAGGAATAACAAAAATGTCTTAGGTAGGACATCAAAAGCACTATATGTAAAGGAAAAG